GTAAAACTATCTACCGTTCCTCAAAAATATACGCCGTACTTTCATTAGACAGTAATTTTGAGAAATCCTTAATCTACCAACCATATTTTTTAGAGCCACTGAGAGAATTTTAAACTTAGGTCTTCATTATACCATACCTCATATAAACTTCAGATAAATTGATAAAATTATACGTTTGAATGCGTTTTTAGATTATCTTTGAAAGGCGGAAGCAACTTGTTAGAAACAAAACTTTACTTCAGGATGACAAACCACAGACCGAACGTAAGTATACGATTAATCTTCATAGCGAAGGACCACATTAGACACAAAATCGCTGACTTGTAATAAACTAAGAAAAAACAAATTGAACAATTTACTTCAGAAAAGTGCTTAGCTTCATAACTGTTTCTCTCACTCCATGACCTATTTCTATGGATAAATCAAATTACAGTTACATCTATAACACAATGCTTTTGGCAAACATAAATATCGCTTACGAAAACGTTAACTTTTGCCTTTCCTGACATTCAAATCATGGAGCAACTGTCAAGTGAGGTTAATATTAAGGTTTACGTATGCGGTATTTGTGATTTCCAAAACTCTCTACTTGTATTCTACATGTATTTACTCTATTTAATGCTGTGTTGATTTATTACTATTAGGTGATAATTTGCATTTTTAAAGGGATAAGTGGAAAATAAGCTTGAAACTAAACTTTACCATCCATAAAGGACATTATTGTTATAATATTATATAATATTTTTTTGATTATTTTTCTCTGGACTCTAGGCCGCTATTCCGTTCCTTTGCCTGATGGCGGCCCGTACAGGGGCAAGTCTTCTAGGTTATCTATTATTTCAGATTTAGTTCTTCTCTAACGTAACAAGTACTGATTATTGCTGCCCATCGTATGATCTTGATGATGTCCTGTGCACTCTTCAAGTGTGTGACCAGTTTCATATATCGGCTTACTTTGTTTTGATATGTCTTTTTTATATTGTGTGTTGCTGGGATGGCAAAGTCTATCAGTGTTGCTGCTTGCGCTTCTTGTCAGTTACATACATATCTGGTCTACTGTGTGATTCCTCGCCTTGCATTCTACAGTTGTTAACATACATGCTCCTATTCCAGTATATTTTTCATTCACTTCTTTCTAATGTTCGATCTAGCATATATTCTACCACCTACCGAAGACCAAAACATACATAGCCAAGAGAAAAATGTCTCTTGAGACGGGATTCCAACCCGCAAAGCGCACGGCGACTGTTCAGGAGACCGAAGAGTCTACTACTGCGGCCACCGATGCTGCCCAGCAAATCCACCGAAATAACAACTCCTATGAGAATTATGAGATGTCCTTTAACCTCTTCAATATATTCGTTGTATTTGACAGGTATTTTGACAGGTTACTGTGCGTCGAGGGTTGCTAATCTTGATTTAATTATATTTTCGTCGCACAGCGTGATTCAATAGACTACACAGTCGAGCAAGTTCGCAAACATTCCAGGCCGCGCCTCTCACTCTGATCAAAATTAAATTGTAAATTCAGACCAGCCAAAATTATTTCAGTATACAAAACCGATCAAAATTATTTTTTGGTGTTACAAAATAATTCGAGCAGTCAAAGCAATAATGCTTAAGCTATTTCAAATGATTTACTTCTTTTCCTTGCTCTATTTCTTCATTCCTTTCTTTCCTTCTTTCCCTTTTCCCCTTAAACATGATTGGTACCTGGGTAGCCAGACCTGGCAGACTAACAGACCGACAAGACTTTTAACTACGAGAAAAGGTCCACCGGACGGCTCTGACGAATTTAACGATTTAACAGAAAGTTTGGGATGCTGGTAAAAATAATGACATGACATGTATATTTTTTAGTGTAGTCCCTTTTCAGGCGCTCAGAAAAGCCACATGTTAGACTACATATTGGAGTGTCCTGAATTCACTGATGAACGAGCTATGTCTGAGATAATACTATTCCTTATCGCTGTGAGTTGCGTATAATATCTATATCTATACATTGAAAACTTTCCACCACGGATGTATCAAAAACGACTGATTAAAAGAATATACAGGGTGGCGCATCGAAAACGAAACAGACGCATTTACTGGCAGCTCAGTTTTTTTTTGAAAAACGCTCAGACCCGTCGATTCTGTTTTCGAGGGGGACACAAGTTTGGCAAAAAAACACGTTAACACGTGCAGCCCCCTGAGCGGGGGTGACACCAACCCTAAAATCTTAAATCGAAAGGGGGGTCGAGTGATGCCTTATTTTTAAAGGTCTTCCAATTCCCTTTATAATGATGTAAAATACATGAGCTTCAGTTCAATAGTTTTGAAGATTTATTGACTTAAAGCTTAAAGTAGACCTTAATAGGTACATCAGATTAGTTTGTAGTACTGTCAGAAGAAATTTGACTAAAAGAATTTACTTAATATTAAATGCTTTTCTTCATTACGCCCATTGTTTGTTTATCATTTTGTTGTTGAAAATAGCTATTGGAGCGTTTTTTTGTGGCAAAAAAGTTATTTCTGAAAGAAAGATAACGAAATATCTCGTACTTATTTTAAATAGGTATTTAGTACATAGTTTGCGATTGATTTGACCAAATTTTGTTGCTAAAATAGTTTGTCACGCTTTATTACATAATTTAACCATGGTATATTCCACAGCAGAAACAGTTGAAATTATCGAAATATTTTTCCGAAATAATCAGTGCGCTAATAGAAAACTGAGCTACCAGTAAATGCGTCTGTTTCGTTTTCGATGCGCCACCCTGTATATAGAGAATATACCAAGGTCTTACAATTCATTATATTCTTATATACAGGGTGTTTCAGTTTATTGTTGCATAACTTTAAGATTCGATAGAACTTTTAAAATTAGTGCATAAAGTCTATATAAACATGGGTCGAAAAATGCGTGGCTTCCGAAATACAGGGTGTTTAAATTTACTTCCTAAAATAGTTTTTTTTAAATATTTCGAACAATATTTGATGTATAACAGTGAAAATTGGTATACAAGGGTTCTTTGGTACGACAAAACGATGTTTTACTGTAGCCGCTAGAGGGCGCTCTCTACTGTACCTGTAGTCTGTTAAAATGACCGACAAATTTTTCTTAGTGAAATTTTTTGCTTTTTGAATAAAAAAACTGATTCTTCGCACTTTTCAACATAAAAAAGCTCTCTTGTGAATTTTAGTTATAGTTAGCCGTTTTTGAGATATTTCGATTTTTAAGGTGCGATGCATTTTTAATTATTTACGATAAAATAACGCTAAAAAGTCAGTATCTCGATAATTCTTAGAAGTAGGCTGTGCCTGCAAATATTTTTGAAATTGAAAGCAGAATAAGGTTGACAGTTATTTTTATTGTCTGTTGAGACCTGAAACGTGTTTTTGCAATTGTGAATGCACGAAATTTAGTTTCTTTTACCTGTTTTTTTTTGTAAGTTTTATAAAAATGCCATTTTTATTCTCCAATCAAGAGTTAGCGGATATTCATTTTGTGTATGGCTTTGTAAATGAAAACTTAGCAGAAGCAGCCAGAAAATACGCACGAAGATTTCCAAACAGACGACATCTAACTCGCTCAGTATTTGTAATGCATCGCCAAATAATTGAAAATGGTTTTGGAATTCTCCAAAGGAATCAAAACATAAATGTTTGTCAGCGCAGATTTACCCGTATGATTCTGCGTGAGTTTGATAGAGATCCGACCTCAAGTGTTAGGAGAGTCTCTGGTGCCTTGGGAATTTAAGCAAGCGATGTTCACCGTGTTCTTAGAAATGACCATAGACGACCTTACCATTTGCAACCTGTGCAAGGACTACAGCCAGGGGACGGAGAACGAAGAGAACATTTTGTCAGTGGATTCTTGATAGAACTGATAATAATAGGGAGTTTTTAAGTAACGTTTTATGGACCGATGAGGCATGCTTCACTAGACGTGGAGTGGTAAATTTTCATAATCAACATATTTGCGACTTTCTTGGATTTTTTAAAGGCTGAACATGCAAATATGTGGGATGATGTTATGTTAGATTTAAGAAGATTGGCCTGGTTCCAGCTTGATGCTTGTCCAGCTCATTATTCGAGAATAGTTAGAAACTGGCTGGACGAAAATTATCCAGAAAGATGGATCGGCCGTGGAGGACCAGTCGCCTGGCCTCCACGATCCCCTGACCTAAATCCATTAGATTTCTTTGTGTGGGGATTTCTAAAAGAAAAAGTGTACCAGACTCCCGTAATCACAAGAGATATGCTAATAGAAAGAATCAGGAATGCATGTGATGAAATAAGGCCTTATTTGAATAATTCTATACTACGTTCGATCATTCGTAGATGTGAATTGTGTATTGAACAATTGGGTTTACATTTCGAGCAACTACTTTAGGTTTTGCATGTTTGTCCTAACTATCCAATAGCATTTTAGTTGTAAATAATTAATTTAATTTGTTAAAAATAATATTGGAAAATTAAACAAATTAATATTCTGTTTTTTTGTTTTCATTTGGAGTTAGGAATTATTGCTGTGTTTAAAAACACAATCTAAACGATCATCTTAATTACCTGTAATGCCCAAATCGAAAATGTAAAAAAAAAATATTATTTTCCCATAAATAATTAAAAATGCATCGAACCCTAAAAATCGAAATATCTCAAAGACGGCTAACTATAACGAAAACTCACAGGAAAGATTTTTTATGTTGAAAAGTGCGAAGAATCAGTCTTTTTATTCAAAAAGCAAAAAATTGTGCACTAAGTAAAAATTTTCGGTCATTTTAATACACTACAGGTACAGTAGAGAGCGCCCTCTAGCGGCTACAGTAAAACTATGCCCATGGTTCGTTTTGTCGTACCAATATACCAATTTTCACTGTTATACATCAAATATTGTTCGAAATATTTAAAAAAAACTATTTTAGAAAGTAAATTTAAACACCCTGTATTCCGGAAGCCACGCATTTTTCGACCCATGTTTATATAGGCTTTATGCATTAATTTTAAAAGTTCTGTCGAATCTTAAAGTTATGCAACAATAAACTGAATCACCCTGTATATACTTGTTTACGCATCGAAGTGTATTTGATTGTGAATGCTCCGTTTTTGGCCTGTGATTTTTGACGATTCATAGATTTTATTGTGTAATCTTATGACAACAGTAGTATTAATATATCGCATATAGACATAGATATAACTTTTCATCAAAATGAACAGACGTTTGGTTGGTCTACAGTCATACTATTCCGTCTAGGTTGTTAACTAGCTAAGTAAGCACTGTAACATTTACATTGCTTCTATTACTTTGTCTCAACTTGTTGCTTTCAGGGAAATGAAACAAGCTCGGCGACATTAATGTATGCATGCCTCTTATTAGCCATGCATCCGGATATACAGGTAAACAACAATATAATAGTTTGTATCCTATGTACACGGTGCTTTCAGTCTCGATATAATAGTTTTAGGAAATAATGGTCATGGAACTTATTTGTAAAAGAAAACATTCAAATCACATCTACATTGAATTTGGAAATGTGACATTATTGCGAGTATCCGTTGGTACTTTTCAATGATTTTGCTTCCAACATAGGTCCTAAAATACGATCTCTCCGGGACATAGATGTACACTTCGGCTTTACACATTGAGATCTACATCTTATTTCAAAAGAATAAGGCTTTAAGGGGGTACCTCATCCATAGTACTAGTAGGCGATAGTTTGGCGATCCCGTAGTGCCTCATCCAAATATTTATTTATCGATATACTTCCTGGTTAATTGAAGAACAGGGTGTTTCAGAACTATGGGATCAAACTTGTAGGGGTTGAAGGGGCATTTGGCCTACGGAGCAACAAACTGCAATGCACGAGCAGCAGCGCGGTTGTATCAAGAACGCTATCCTGAACGACTGCATCCGAGAAAAGTTTATTGCCATTCATCGGCGGCTCTCCGAGACAGATATTTTTAAAACCAACATTCATGATACTGGTGTTGCTCGAACCGTAAGAACGGTCAAATTTGAAGAAGTGGTCCTTCAGCGAGTTGCCGACGAACCATCAAGTAGCACACGTCACATTGCTGAGGATATGAATAGAAATCCCCATGCAATTTTTCCTAGAAAACATCAGCAACGTTGGTCTGTCAACGTATGGGCAGGCATTGTTGATCATTGTTTGATTGGGCCATACCTTGTACCGGAACGGTTGACAGGTCCTATTTACCGGCGTTTCTTGGAGGAAGTTCTTCCACAACTTCTTGAAAATGTTCCATTGACAGCAAATGTGGTTTCAGCTTGATGGAGCGCCGGCTCACTTTGCTGTACAAGTACGTGAGTATTTTGAACAATCGTTGTGATGGTATCATGTACAAAGGACAAACATTAAATGCATTGAATCCTATTTAGGCAATTCATCGTATTTCTAAATTTTAACGCGTCTTAGGGCCGTAGTGCCGTAGTGACACTTTTCCGGATATGGGTGCCTTATACTCAAATGTTTTGTACTGATACACTGAATAACTCCTGGAAGTTTGATCCCTTAGTTCTGAAACACCCTGTATAATTGAGGCCCATTGTCTCTTTTCTTTTAGTTTTTTTCAGTTGGTAGAGTGGTGTTTGATTCTGTCTCTGAAAATATTGATTTTTAGGAAAAGCTTTACCATGATGTAGTGAGTATTTGTGGACTAGACGATCCAATTACATTAGAAAAATTATCCAAAATAGATTATGCGGAACGCATTATCAAAGAAACGCTTCGGCTTTTTCCCTCTGCTCCAATAATTGGAAGATATACGCAAGGGGATCTAGATATTGGTAAGTGTTGTACAAACGTTCAACATAATCTATATTTATAGTATGTCGAAAGAAAGCTCTTATGTCGCACTGCAGTTTCTTTGCGAATTTTTGTTCCAGCGATTTGTTCCGCAGCATGTTACAGACTTTCCGTTACAGCGAATATCTGGCACATGGGTCGCAGACCACACAGAAGCCTTATGCAAAGTCAATGTTTTTTTTTAATTCCAGTATGTTGTAGATCTGAAGACGTAGAACCAAAGTGTACCGGATGTCCGGCTTTGAATTGACCCCTCCTCTAACTTTTTTATATGACCTTCCAGAAGAAAAAAATTCATATAAAAGTTGAACAAGAGTTAATATAAACTTCTTTATGTCTTTACCCTTTTTTGAGTGTCATTTACTCTCGAGTATCCGAGTTTGCATCTAGCCACTTATGCAATCTGGTGTAGGACCGAAATACATATGATTAAATGACACATACATTCGATATTTTGATTAAAGCAATAAAAGTAAGTCTAACAAATCATATATATTTGGAATCAGAAAAATAGAATTTCATTTTCACTGAACATATACAGGGAGTTCCATTTAAAAAAATACAATTTAATTCAACAGTACTTTTTCGAGACAGTCTGTATACAAAAAATATTACATGAAAAGCTGCATATAACTTTTATATACAACTTTTTTTCTAGATTCCCGAACGCTCCATACATGGGCTCACAGTTTTTCCCCGAGTAGTTCCTGAGAGAAAAGGGCCATCAAGGTGAAATGTCCGTATTGTATTACATCATACTGCGGATAGGATACACGATCTATAATAAATAAATAAATCCTTGTACGTTTTCATCAATATCACTAGTAGATAAAATCAACCATCAGTTCAATTCTATCACATGTGCAGATTAGCGCAAAGTTGCCTGGACTGCTCCTAGAATCTTTCCAAGAACTGTTGAGAATTATCCTGTGGGAGTACATCTTAAATATATTCAGGATTATACAGGGTGACCGACTATACTACTGACCTGAATATCAAATTTGATTTTTTCTTAGAGAACTACATATAGGTACTTCTATTAAATATTTTGATACACCAACATATTTCTGCTCTTTGTTGAGTAATAATTATAAGAAAACATAGGTGTAGAGATAATATGTATTTTGTCTAAAGAAGCTTTAGTGTGGCGACCCCTTCCTCAATCACGTTTATGGACAAAGAATTGAATTTCCTGTAACTATTTCTTGAATTGGTTCAACTTGTTGTACAGAGAACGCAACCCAATTCAAAAATAAATAAATTATTTCACATAACATTCAAATGGGACACGTTATATATTTCCACATTTTCAGATTCCATTCCACTTTTTTCAAGCTGACTCCTGATACAGAGGTCAAGTGTGTTGTGACGAAATTTGAAGAATGCAACTTTATTAGTCACTCCATCTATTAAAATCGCGTTGACATATACCATACTAGAAAGAATACATATTACCTACACGAAAACATGCAGGAGTATTTAGGATGCCTCTTATCTAACAATTTTCCCACATCGGAGCGTTCTGAATATGTGTATAGTCAAACCTGAGCTCTGTGATATGATGTACTAGAGTTTCATAGTAACAAACACTAGAAATTCTGTAGAGATTTACTAAAAATCGGTATGAATGGAAGCGAAACCAATTTTTTAAGATTGAAAGAGCTTTTATGCCATTCTGGCAATGACGGCGACGATATGCAATAATAGATATAGGTATCAACGAAAATAACTTTGGTATCCAGTTCAGTAGTGTATATTTGAAATCATGGAAAATACATGGAAGCTTGGACCACCCAGTATATCTGATAGAATTGCAAGGTTGGTCAGCCGACGAGTAGGAATGACGATAAGAAAGTAAAGAAAAACCAAATAGCTATCATAAGTCATGTGTCGCAGGGTATGGATAGCCCAACCTGGATGCCCTGTATTTCGAAAACTACTCCTGGAAAAACATTGGGTCCATGGATACCTTCGTCCTACCTCTTGAGATCTACAACACAATTAATTTTTGAACGAAATAGCTGAAATGTCTTTTATTGTAATGGAAATGTATCCGTACTACAAAGTCTTACCACATGTCGCGAACCATCTGCCTACAACTTGTTGGGAATGTGCGTTCCCATCAAAACAAATTTTCGCAGCATGTTGCACATCATGTGCGGGTACATCTTCAGGCATAATAATGGCAACTTGTTAGGATAGAAACGTACGAGTATGCTACGCAGACAGTGGACAGCCTAATCACACTAATCTTTATAGAATGACAGCCTTACAGTTTTATTTCTTCTAGGTGGCAGAGTGATACCCAAACATTCGACGGTGTATCTACACATAGTTTATACTCATAGAGATCCTAGATTCTGGCAAGAACCACTGACGTTCGATCCTGATCGCTTCTTACAGGAAAATGCCTCAAAAATCTACCCATTCAGCTACATACCTTTTTCATATGGCTCGAGAAATTGCATTGGTAAGAGTCCGCTCCATCTTGTTAATATTTTGACAATAATGTCAATTAAGGAGCTGTGGAGCAACTCAAACCATTACAGTTTTCAGCTAAAGTCATACTTACTAGTGACGTTTCCCTTTAAGGTTTGAGATTTGCAATGACTAGTATAAAGATAGCATTGGTAAACCTAATCCGGAAGGTGAAGATATTCACCGATTACAAAAGTGTCGAAGATGTCAAGTTGAAGGCCCACTTCTTACTTAGACCGAGAGATGGATGGAAACTAAGATTTGAAGCCAGAAACTGACACAACGCTTGAGAAGAACTAATAGTAACGTATCTATTATAAGATTTTTGTCAATCTAATTACTATGTTAACCCTTAACTGGTATCGTCATTTTTACGTACGTAACTGGTATCGTCGGGTCAATTTTGACCCGACGATACTTTAAGAAACTGAAGCTACCAACTTCCGAAATGCTATTACTGATCAGTTGTTAGCCTAATATACTACATGTTTGAACAAATAAAGCACTCGTACATTCAAACTGTTTATTGTCCAAAATCAAAACAAAATACTGCATCTGAAAATGAGTAATGCAATATAATTTACGAAATTTCAACTCAAGTATGAATTTATCAAAAAACTAACATAATGGGCCATTAAACAACATATTTGGTCTTTATATTCTATAGCGAAAAAACAAATACTGTCTCGTATTAGAAAACGTGCAATAACGTTTTCATAGCCTATCACTCACATTTGGCACTTTCCACATAACAATGTAGCTGCGCTGTGAACTTTACACACGTGCTGGTTACACTTATTACAGATCGTAGAATATTTATTGTCATTGTGAGACGGGCACATGTAACACCTACGTCGTTTTTTTCCTTTAAGAACTGCACAAGGATCAAGAACTCTGGGCTGAGAAGTGGACGGCTGACTTTCATTCGTCGGCGTCGTCGTGTCGTCACATTTCAGGATTCTTTGCATGACTGAGCGAAGCTCCCTAGGAAGCCTTGGTTCCGATAAACGTCGTCTCATATGAGGTTCAATTAGAGTTTGACCTAGGTGAACAATAAAATTCCGTCGTCTCATAGAATTTTCAGTCCCAGACTGGAACAAAATAAAGGAATTTACAGAAGCTATATTCATAATAGCATACCAAATAGCACACGGCCACCTTCTTGTTCTCCGACCAGTATTGTAATTTGCACACTTCTGATCTAGTGCATCAACTCCCGCCTTTGTGAGGTTATAATATAAAATCATATCAGGCTTCTTTGATTCTTCATCTATTTTGTTATCATGGTGCATAGATGACACTACCAGTACGTATTTATTTGGTTTTGGAACGTAGGACACTAAAGTTGTAGTGCCAGTAAACACAAACTTAGAAGTACCTGGGTCGGTTTTCTTATTTGGGACTACATATTGTGGTATTTGTGTCTTATTTTTACGCATCGTGCCGACATAAGTCAGTTGATTTTTGCGCAATTCTTCAACTAATTCTATTGATGTGAACCAGTTATCTGCCGTGATATTTCTGTTCGTATCCTTGACTGGATCAATTAGGGATAAGACAGTTAGGGTAGCCACTGACAGCTTTCTTGGATTAGGCTGCACACTTTCTGATTTACCTGTATAGACAAAAGCATTGAGCAGGTAGTGAGTCTTTGCATCACAAAGGCATAATATCTTTAGTCCGTACTTGTTCGGTTTACTTTTCATGTACACACGGAAAGAACATCGGCCTCTAAAACCCACGAGCATCTCATCTATTGTAAGGGACTCACCCGGAATATAACAATTTTGACAGTTCTATATGAATGTCTCGAAGATTTCACGTATGTGGCGAAATTTATCAGGCTTTCTCGAGTCTCTGGTAGAAATACTATCAAACCTCAATGCGACTAGCAAAAACATGAACCTCTTTAGGGACATCGTAGCACGGAAAATGTCTCTACCAGTGCCGTCTGATGCAAATAAACCTTCAACATCTTCATGGTTGGATTTGAGAACTGATGTCAAATAGAGCAAACCAAAAAATGCTTTCATCTCTGCTGAATCTGTGTAACTCACAAACGAAGCTGTTGTTCCATATTTGCTGGACAATTCCGTAATTTTCTCATTTGTACAGTCCACAATTTTTCTAATCATTTCATCGGTTATGAGAAGAGACCAGTAGTTGACAGGGTTCTTATCTTGCAAATTTCTTGCCACGGGTTTTAGTCCAGGTAAATGCGTAATAATATTATGTCGTCTGGTTCGACCAGCTGTAGGAGCTCGTTTTGACCATTTGTACCTGTTCTTTCCATAAACATAGCCTATGGATGATAGTGGCAAATCTGAAGAGCTATCTGAGTCCACACTGTTGTCTGCACCGCCATCAAAATCGAAGTCGCCCACAGGAACTTCTTCAGCTTGATCGGCAACAGCGTCGTCCTCGGCGTCGTCTATGGTGTATTCTTCATCAGAATCGTGATTACTGTCGAAAGTAGCCGCATCACTTATATCGCCATCATCTTCACTGTCCAAGAACAACTCACGTACTTGTTCTTCGGTATATTTCTTGCCGTCAATAAAAATCCATTGCGAAGAAAGTCCAAAACGCACACGCAACTGGTATCGTCGGGTCACATTTGACACAAAGCAAACAAACCTACACTTGCGACGCTCAAATTAAACTGACCTTTGCGGTATATGTGCAATGTGCATACGTATACTGTCTGAGAAATCACGGAACCCCCACCACATAGCTGCGAAAATCCCAAAGCTATGACGAACTGAAGGCGCGCCGGGTCAATTTTGACCCGACGATACCAGTTAAGGGTTAATATGCATTTATTGATGTAAAATATCACATGAAATTTGAAACAACGGAATGACGATTTATTGGTCAAGGTCACTGCGAAAAAAAATAAAGGAAGATGATCTCAAAGGGTTTTGGTTTTCACGCATTACTTCATCACGAATAAAGCTAATTATTTGCAGTTTGCAAGTTGTTTGCAAGTTGCATTTGTGTATGATAAAGCAACTATCTAGAATTATTTTATAGAAAAGTGAACAAAGTATAACCTTATTTGTACATCCAGCTAAAGGCCGCAGATGAAAAGGCTCGTTTGTTTAAAATTTAAGAAAAAATTCAATATCTCAAAAGCGGTACCACTTTTATATAGGTAAGTTTTTGTTATTTCGGAGGTCAGTCCAAAGCCTACCTCCTCCTTAAGTTTGTCGCGGTACTTATTGGACATCCTGTATAGAGATTAAATGGAAGACTATTAAGAAGCCATGAAGGAATACTTCGGGGAAGTGGAGGTAGTTAAATCCGAAATATGTTAAGCTTTGTCCAGTGGTTACAATCTTTGCAGGGTCACAGCAGTTGTTTCCGGATGAAGTTCAGGGCTGATCTCACAGATCACGGTGGCACATTCTAGACTTGGTAACCGTTCGCAGTGTACAACTTTCGAACCAATAAATCTTAAACTTTGAGGTACGGGACTGATTTACTTTAAATCCGTAAAAGTGAGTCTTGTTTTTCTATTGCAAACTCTAATTTGTCCAGTAAATACCGAAAATCGGCAGCATTCTAGTTGTTCTAATAATGTATTTTCTATTTTCTTAATTCAATCTCTCAGTCAACATTTGTGAAGTCCTTTGATTGCAATAAATGAGCTAACAGCAATATAATAATAAGAAACAACCACTTTTCGTCTCTTTTTTGGCATCTTCAATCAGCAATTATTGGATAATGATCAATAATTTTATGAAGTACTTTTCTCTGTTTCTCTCAAGTAGGTACTGTGTAAACGGCTAAGCACTGTCTCATGCGAGAGCAAAAATTACAGTAGCATAACTCTAGTGTTTCAGAGAAATTCTCATGTTCTGTGAAAACGCATCCGACTTTTAATTCTTATGAGACAAAAATTTTAGTCTCCTTGTGGACACTTAGCTAAGGACTGCGCCCCGTACCGTGATTAACTCAGATAGGAATCTCCAGAAGGACCCTGCGGCTTCGCCCCAGCAGGCCAGCAAAGTTATAATACAGTTGTTATAGGACCTAATCGCTATAGACGCGTCTCTATTTATCTAGCAGCAGAATTAGGCGGGCAGTGATCCGTATAATCACTTTTGTCGGGAGGAGAACTGGCAAAAAGCAGACGGGGCGAAATCGTGATAGAGACGAATCGCTGCTGGGAAACTTTTCTTGGTTTCTCTTTGGCTGAGAGCTGTATGTGATTGATGGCCAGATAAAAACTGTGCAACCAAGTTCTCAAGCGCTTAGTGGAAGCGAGTATTGGACTTGATCTGGGAGTAGCGCTGAAAGTTGCTATATAAGTCTGTAATTCTAGGTTGAATACATTACTCGAATGTCTTACAGGGTTTGTCCGGAAAGTAATAGGACTGAGTCGATTTAAAAAAATGTATTGAGCCAATCGTTACAATTCTTTAAACACTTTCAAAATAGGCTCCTTCTGCGTCGATGCAGCGCTGCCAGCGCGATTTCCAAGTCTGAAGGCGTCACGGAAGGCATTCTCCGGAATATCCTTGAGAGCCGCGGTGCATGCTGCTTGGACTTCCTCTGTCGTCTCAAAATGCTTGCCTTTCATCGGCCTTTTCAGGCGAGGAAACAAAAAATAGTCCGGGGGGGGGGGCACATCTGGGCTGTAGGGCGGCTACGGAAGCGTTGGGATGCCTGCCTAGGTCAGGTGGCTGTTCACAAGAAAGGCGGTGTGAGCCGGGGCGTTGTCGTGGTGCAACTTCCAGTCCGCTGCGATGTCTTGTCGAACCCGACTGACCCTTCGTTTGAGTCTCCTGAGCACTTCCACGTAAAACTTGGGGTTGACGGTTTGTCCAGGAGGAACAAATTCATGGTGGACGATGCCTTTGATGTCAAAAAGACAATGAGCATCGTTTTCACTGTGGGTTTGCTCATTCTTCCCTTTTTTGGGCGAGGAGACGCCGTCGTGTGCCACTCGGAAGATTGCCTCTTTGTCTCGGGATCATACTCAAAGATCCACGACTCGTCACCTGGGGGGTCACTTTCACACATGTTCCAAGAAAATGAGTCCCATTACTTTCCGGACAAACCCTGTATCCCATAGGTATCTTTAAAAGTAAACATTACTACTACTACCACCCTCACTACTATGAGGAAGTATTATAATGCAGGATAAATAGGATATATTTGCTTTCCGTCTGTGCGATTACAACCAACCGTATACAACGTTGATTCTTGGTTTTTAGCAACGTTGTATCCGGTTGGTTATGGCCTCAGACACAGAAAGCAAACATATCCTATGCAGCCTGAGTTTAAGCAGCGTTTTGCAAATCGCTGAGTGACAATAGAAGGAATGCTTCTTGTTTGGCAAACGCTGTCATTCAAAGATGCCGAGAGACTGATCTGGGTTTTTTTACGGGAATCCATTACATTTTGACGTCTACTGAGGGGAACAGCTGACCAGCAAGTGATATTTATGTATTAAAGTCTGTAGTGTTGACAGTCATTAAGCGGGTAAAACTCAGGATCGTATTCAGAACTGTTTCTTGTTTTATTCCTACCTGACTTGAGATGCAGACCTGATTATTGGCATCAATTTTGCTTGTAGCGTTTTTTCTTGGGTGCTAAGGAACTTTTCTAAGCCAAAGCGTTGTTAGGAAGTATGAAGCCTTAGCTTACAAAGACCACCACGGAATACGACTTCGCTTACGGATCTAGCGCTGATTGATCCAAATTGAAATGTTTGCCAGCATATTTGACGTAACAGATACTCCTGGTAGAGATTATATAGTTTCCTGCTGCCAAAGAGGAGCTGTCATAATTTGTTTTTTTACCAAGCATTATAATGCTCAACTGTTGCATGTTGCATTTCATCTAGAAACATGTGATAATGGTATGCTTCCATTTTGGAATTTCAAATTACAGGAGTGATTCCAAAAGCTGCAACTAGAATTTTACAGTAGGCGGTCTCAGCTGGTGGGATTGTCTGAATGTTTAGCTATTTAGTTAACTATATTTCCTTCTAGCTTGTAAGGTCAATACTAATTTCATAAAGTCACTATATTCCTGGACTTTATAAAAGATACCAACGCTTGCATTCACAAAATGATCCCTCGTCCCTTCATAAATATTCCTGCTTACCTAGCAAAGGTCAAAGTCCCTCCGCTATGCCGCATGGTGCCGAGTTATTAAAGCATAGAATCCTTTCACTCCAGTCAGTAGCGTAGATGAAAAGGAAAAGGACGAAAATGATGTATATGTTTCATTAACGCCACGTCATAAGTGGTGGTTTAAGTAAGAAGGAGCCACACGCAGACTGAACAAAGTGTGAAAGGCAGACCAGAACATACGCAGTTGTAAGTGGAACATAAGTGATTAAAAAGATTTTACTCAGAAAAATTCCCAATGCAGATCGCTTCTGGAGATAGACGAAGAAATATAATAATCCCAATATAGTTTTATTTTTTCCTGACAATATTTGAGGTGGTATTTCAGAATAAATTGCGTATTAACATTTACACTATTTATTAGCTTTCCAATGTGGCATTTCCTCACTTGTCCTCAATAGTCGGTTTTATTTTTTCATATAGACGCCATATTGGATTTATGCTCAAGTCAGTATTATTACTAATTCATATTCCAAAAATGTATGATATGCGTCAGACATTGATATCGCAAACATTAGATGTAAACGCAATTTGCTTATAGCCTGGCCTAGAAATGGCACCTTATCGCAGTTTAATCGATTACATTATCATTTCAAATATGGTTCAGCCCTTGAGAGGCTCGCTCAAAGGGCACTCAGCCGTAGATCAATATTATTTAGATTCAAGATCTGTCAATTGGTCTCTATATGACGGATATGAAATATATTTAGCAGCCTGCAACATCCTCGCTTTCTCTCACTCTAAAAGGTTTCTATTAGCTTCTTATTGTTTCTAATACCAAGTAATATGAAAGCTTAGCATTAAGTCAATTGTTACTTGAAGTATTATATTTTTCAACCCGGAGCAGCCACGCAGGCAGAAGCCTAAATGGCGGTACATTGCGAATAGGTTGATGTACCAACAGGATGGTGCCCCACCACATTACGCTTTACGTGTTTGACAATATTTAGATCAGACGTTTCCACATCGATGGATTGGTAGAAGAGGTGCCATTGAATTGCCCCCAAGATCGCCAGATTTATCACCTTTGGATTTCTTTATGTGGGGTCATTTAAAAATCAAAATCTATGCTACTTAGCCAACATCATTAGAAGACCTGCGACAAAGAATTTTGAATGAGTGCCTTCACATAACTCCTCAAATATTGCAAAATGTGCGGCAACGTTTTGAGCAAAATCTTTATTATTGCATGGAGAGTCATGGTGGCCATTTTCAACATTTGCTTGCCCAATAGGTCAGTTCATTCTTCATTTTTAAATTACTTTGCTGCCGAATGTATTGATCTCCACTTAGTTTTATTTAAGCTTTAAATCAATAAGTCCTCAAAACTACTGAACTAAAGTACATTAATTTTACATCATTATAAAGGGAATTGAAAGACCTTTAAAACTTTAAAATAAGGTATCACTGGACCCCCCTTTAAAATAAGGTATCACTGGACGGCATTACTGGAGGTCTAAGCTGTAAGTTGTATGTGTTGATGACAATTACATTGGGTGCTTGTCTCAAATACACTTAATCGAGATCCAAAGCTAGAAATTAGTTGCGCAGCCACTTTTTCTTATACTTTCTGGAAATCACATATACAAATTTGCTGAATTTCAAAAAAGAGAGAGACCAAAGTACAAGCCATATACTCGTACTTGCATGCTAACAGTAATTACACACAACGCAGGCGCGGTGATGGTTTCCCGTAATTCTCCTCGGTTTTTCGTAATTTATAACTTTGAACATAACCTCTCTTCAGAAAGCACAACATATAAATAACCCGTCATATTTCGCATATTCAGTAATGATTTTCTCACACAGCAAATATCACTGATTTTATTCACATGCAGACCAATACACATAATCATCCAGATGCGATCTTGCTATTCAACCAACTTTCTTCTCAGAGATAAAAACTACAGATACGGATAACTCAGCCCCACAAAACTATGCAACCAATAATGCGTGTAGTTTAGTTGAGTGATTCCTCCATAGATGGACGTTCACAACGATCCTAGTGAGCAAACGTGGAATGACTGTTTGCGCCCTAAAAACTACCTAGTCTGCAAGTTGACATATTATAGGTTTTTTTGACGTTTTATAGGTTTTTTACATGATACCCGTACGGGTTTGCTGTAGAACTGTTGCCGTGGAAGCCACAACACAACTATTTTAACTAACGAGCCGTGAAATACTCTTATGAACTGTATGCAACACTTTTTAATTTATCCTAAAAGATGTTTTATAAGTATCCTACAAGAATGCTTTAGACACCTTATTTTTGAGTAAATATGCAGAAAACAAATTTGCATTTTACACAACGCCAGGCCAGCATCTTGATGTTCAGGAAACGACAAAAGAGAGCTTTTATGGCTTGATAGTTTTCTTACCAAAAACTTATACCAT